AATAAATAAATAAATAAAATTAAAAAAAAAAAAAAAAAGAACTACCAGACTAATCAGAAAGCCGAGGTGGTTTCAAACAGACTTTCTGGCTTCTGTGGCCTGGGAAAGTTCTAGTCCTTCACTCCTCAAGGCCAGTGGTCTACATATCTCAAAGAAAGTAAATTAGTTCTGTTACAGATCAAGGACCTTAGGTTAGCAAGTAAGGAGTGTACTAACTTGAAGCAAGGGAACCCTTAAGACCCGCTGGAGTGCTGTTCCACACACAGCACACGTTGGAGCTGGGCATTATTGTCTCAGTTTGCCCTTGAAGAGACTAAAGCAAAGAGAGGTTAAGTAACTGCCTGAGTACATACAGCTAATCAGTAGCAGAGCTGAGACTCAAACCAGGCGTCATGGTATTAAAGCTATAGGAATGGTCATACGCTAAGGAGTGGTGTGAGTGAAGCATTCAGAGGGAGGAACTGAACGTAGATCAGATGTCATTGCTTATCTTTTGTTTTTCCAGGTCTCTTTGCAAGGAAATAGCTTCAATCAACGGCAGTTCTGTTACACCTTCATCATGTTTCTCTTGACCAGAAATGCACTAAATAGGTTCAAGATTCGAAGCATTCAACAAATTAGGTCAAGACAGAGCCACGAAAATCATTCACAAGATTTCCATGACAAATACGGTAACACTGTACTAGCCAGTGGGACCGCTTTCTGTGTTATTGCATGGGTGTTTATAGCCACACAGATTGGAATAGAATGGAACCTGTCTCCTGTTGGCAGAGTCGCTCCAAAAGAGTGGAATGATGAGTAACCATCGAAGTTACTGTAATACAAAATTGTTTCAAAATCAGCTTGTCATTTAAGCACTCTGCTGCTCATTAAAATATAGCATAGTTGAAGAAATAAAATACATTTGAAACCTTTAAAAAGTTGTTTGGTTAAGCGACTGCCTTTGGCTCAAGTCATGATCCCAGAGTCCTGGGATCGAGTCCCAAATCAGGCTCCCGGCTCAGCGGGGAGCCTGCTTCTCCCTCTGACCCTCTCCCCTCTCATGCTGTTTCTCTCTCTCTCTCTAATAAATAAATAAAGTATTTAAAAAAAAAAAGTTGTTGAAAATACTCATTATAGTGCCTAAAAGCAAGACAGTAGCAATGGCTACAGGTTATAGCAGATTATGAATAATAAATATTTGAAAGTAGAGTTAATCATGTATTTTCTGTCTTAATGATTTACACTAGGTATCCCTTAGTGGGTATACACACATATGTACTTTACAAATTAGTTTAATTGTTTGGCAAATTCTATTGAATCTTTCCTTAAAACATATTCATGATAAAAAGAAACATATGCATAATCTGACTATTTTTCACATCCTTAATCTTTCTCGCCATGATCTGAATCACCATACTCTCACTGGGGTTATTATAAAAACTTTCTCACCAGTCTCCTTCAACACATGATGTACCCCCCAAACCTGCATCCTCTACCCCACCACACACAACTTTTTTTAACACAGAAGCCAGGATGATCATTTTATTTTATTTTATTTTTATTTATTTATTTGACAGAGAGAGAGAGCCAGAGAGCACAAGCTGGGAGAATGGCAGAGGGAGAAGGAGAAGAAGGCTCCTCACTGAGCAGAGAGCCTGATGCGGGGCTCAGTCCCAGGACCCTGGAATCATGACCTGAGCCAAAGTCAGATGCTTAACCGACTGAGCCACCCAGGCACCCCCCGAGTGATTATTTTAAAACATTAGTGATATCACTCCTCTTTTCAAAACCCAATGACTCCACATTTCACTCGAGAGTTAAAGCCAAAGTCCTTAGAAAAGTACACAGGCCCCCTAGATGCTGTACTGGTCAGTCTTACTCCTGTATCAGGACATTTCCATTTGCTCTTTTCTCTGCTTGGAATGTACTTCCTCCAGATCTTGTATGACTCATTTCATCATACTTTTCAGGGTTTTGTTCATATGTCATATTTTCAGAGGAGGCCTCTGACTACCCTTTTTAAAATTACAGCCCCTCCTTAGTTCGGGCTTTGTCTGTCCTGCTTCCTTGCTTTATTTTTCCCCATAGCAATTGTCATCATCTGAGATAAGATATATTTTGTTTATTGTCTGTGTGCAAAGCTCCATAAAAGCATAGTTTGGAAACTGGGTTTTTTGTGACTTTATCCCTATAACAGGGCTTGATAGATTAGACCTTCAGTAATTATTGGTTGAATTAATGAATATTAGTCTACAAATAATGAATTTGTTTACGACTGTGGGTTTGCAATGATTATTGGAGAGTATATTGGTTATCTATTGCTATTTTATAAATTGCCCTAAAACTCAGTAGCTTAAAACAATAAACATTTATTATCTCACCATTTCTGTGGGTCAGGAATCTCAGCTGGATATCTCTGGCTCAGGATCTCTCACTTCTGTAATCTGAGTGTCAGGGCAATAATCATTTCAAGGTATAACTAGGATAGGATCTATATCCAAGCACATATGACTGTTTACTGGCCTTAGGACTTCACTGAATATTGGCTGAAGATACCAGTTCCTTTTGTGTAGTTTTCTCCCTGGGGCAACTCACAGTCTAACAGAGTAAAGGATACAGAAGCCAAGGTCTTTTGTAACCTAATCTTGCAAGTGACATTCCATCACCTCTACCATATTTTGTTCACTAGAAGTGAGACACTAAATCAAGGCTATAAAAAAGGGAAGGGGATTATACAAGGGCATGATTACCTCAAGGTAGGGATCATTAAGGAATACCTAACACAGTCGACACTGGAGACAACCTCCTCCTGGATGACTAAACTCAAGATAAATGTATCTCAATGTCAAATATACGTTAATACTGTTACTCTGTAGACAAAGGACATTATGTGTTCCTTCCCAGTTTTACTATGTGAGAGTTCCTCTAGGGTCCTTCCTAGGTGTAGAATTGGTAGTTCTTAGGGAATGCTCATTTTCAGCTTTATCAGTATTGCTGGATTATTTCCCAAAGTGGTGAAATAGTTTACAATCTCACCAGTAATATATACAATTTCCTTTTTTTCCACATCCAAACTCACTCTTAGGAGTTTTCATACATTTTAGTATTTGCTGCTTTGATGAGTGTGAAATAGTACCTCATGTTTTAATCTGTATTTCCTGAACCTAATTACTGATGAGGTCCAGCATCCTGTGTTAGCCTCTGTGTGTGTGTGCATGCACGCACGTGTGCACACAACTTTTCTGTTTCTTTTTCCATTTGTCTATTTAGTTGTTTGTCTTGCTCATTTTGTAAAAGTTTTTAAATAAATTCTAGATACTAATTATATCAATCAGGGTTTAATCAGAGAGGCAGAACCATATAAGTAATATAGAATCTCAGATTAATTATGGGAATTAGAACCGATGCAGTGGCGAGAGCCAGTGGAGGCGTTTTTACAAGGCTGTTGCCTTGCCATCTGGTACCGAGTAAGTTTTCAGTAGAGCAGGAAAGCTGGATGTGGAGTAGGGGAGAGCAAAAACCAACTGGAATTAGGAAGGATGCACTGGAATCATGTCTATAAACTAAACCCTGTGCTTGTTTTTGTCACTGTCTATAATTAAGATGACATGGATGACTTATGGGAGAAGTTGGTGCCCTTCACTGTGGAACTGAACATTCACCTGACCCAGTACTCCAAAAAGCTAAAGAACTGGTAGAAGTTTAAATAGCTATAGGTCCAGGCATTGTTCCTTATCAGTAAAGCAAGCCAGAAGATCAGCAACGGCATACACAAGCTGCACAGTGCCCAGTGTTTTATGCCAGCCTTCCAAGTACAAAAAGGTTGCTATTTTATGTCTGCCATCCCTATATAATACATATCTGTCTTGTGGTTAACCCTAATCTAAAACCACAGAGGGAAGGAATTCTGGAAAATGTAGTTGAAGCCTAGCTAAATTGACACTTAGAAAGCCACAGTAATCCACCACTTGTCAATTTGACGTAAGTGTACATCTTTCCTAACTTTATTTGTATTTCAAATAAAGACAATAACAAAAATATGCTTTTACCTAACATAATGCAACTTCCCCTCATAAAACTAATACACTAGTCCTGTCCCTAAAAAAGTACACGAAATCCCTTTACAAACCATCACAGGGTGACACTGTCAACTTCTAGTTTAGTGGAGGCATTTATGTGATACCTAGTAGAAGCCTAAGACCTCTAGACCAGCAAAACCCAAAGTTATAGAAAGAATATTTCTCTAGTGGATCACTAGAGGTAATTGTGGTAGGACCCATTCTCATCTCTACTTGTTGATTCCCAGGCCTGAAATTCCCAGCTCTGGGAAAATAGCACTATGTATTTGTTGGTCATTTAGAGCATGGAAGACATTACCTCAGCCTGGCAAGGTAGTGTTATCTAGCTGTTGCCATAACTAACACTTTTAAAAGGTTATTGCACCATTCTATCAGTGATAGGAAAATAGTAAGATCAGTGAATTCCATAAGCATGAATCCATTAATGTATTTCATTTGCTATAAAGTAAGTTTCTTAGGATCAGTGCTTTGTTGTGTACCAAGGTACTAAATAAGGCATTTAGCAAGTTCATGGATGATGGTATTCATAGAAAAATTGCAGGGACAGATGGTAAATCTACATTGTTAAGTGTCTGTTCAAGTGATAGCAAACCACTGCCCTTTCCATGATTGAAGTGGTTCAAGGAATGCTGCTAAATATAGGTGCATTTGTGGCCTGTCCATTGGTAGATTGGGTGTATTCATCGGTGTCTAGAGTCAGACTAGTCTTGATGAGGGCAAGTCCATTTTGTGAGCCCATACGTAATCATCCCTGCTGTCGTGATCACTTACGTCCGAGGTATTGAGAATGCATAGATAGGGTGGCTGAGAAAGAGAGTAATAGCCATACGAATGGGTCATCTTGTCCACCTGATTAAGATGATATTCTGCTGACTATTCTTTTATGTGTATTTATATGGGACCTGAATATCTTCCCACTCTGTGTCCATTTAGAGAAGTCTGTTCACATAATCCATTCCCAAACTTACTGTCACCAATTTTGCAGTAGTGTTCCTTTTAATTCCCTGATCAGCTTGTCACGCCATTAGTTGGTCCCCATGACTTGGTATGGAATTGTACCTCTGGTAATTTTTCCTTCCAAGTAAAATGAGCAACTATGTGTTCTACTTAAAATACGGTCCATCAGGAAGATTTCCCGTCGTCTTCAGTGTCAACTTGGAATTCAACTGTATTGCTGAAGCCCTCCACTTTCAGTTATGGCCAGCTGGTTTCGCAGAACCAGATTTGAATTTTTTCTTCCTCAGTCCACTTGTAATAGGAAATTCCCCATAGGGCCATATACACCTGTATACCCTACTAAGTTCAAAGTGAATGAAACTTTCCCACACAACTTGTAAACTGTGGAACCAGGAGTCAAACTTTATTTTTTTTTTAAGATTTTATTTATTTATTTGAAAGAGAGAGACACAGCAAGAGAGGGAACACAAGCAGGGGGAGTAGGAGAGGGAGAAGCAGACTTCCCACAGAGCAGGGAGCCCAATGTGGGACTAGATCCCAGGACACTGAGACAATGACCTCAGCCGAAGGCAGACGCTTGATGACTGAGCCACCCAGGCGCCCCCAGGAGTCAAACTTTAGAACCTGTTCTTTTACTTTCAAGTTACACTGTTATCTTTTTTCAGGTATACAGGTTGGAAATTCTGGAAAGATTCAGGCTGGAATTAGGGAAGATAGGGAGCAAATCACAGATTGTTGTGAAAACCTTGGGAGTGAAAAATATTATCAAGAGAGTAGATCAACAAGGAAGTAGAGAATAGGAAATGCATGTGGCATGTAATGAGTATTTTAAAATGGCTGTTACTTTCCTCTTTAA